GAGAAATTCTGTATCAGTATCTATATGCCACAAAGTTAGTTGGTCATCAGGAAAAAAAAGCATTTAAACAACCTTTAATACAACATAGCCATTCAAAGCTGGAAAGCAGAAATCAGATTACAAATAGTACTAGCAAGAAGCAATCTTACCACAGAGTTCCTCTTTTAAGATGAAATAAACCAGGACTACAGCAGAAGCACATAACACAACCACTCACAGAATGGCTTGGGTTGGAAAGGACCTCAAGGATCAACTCCCAACCATGCGCCATAGATGGGGCTACCAACCTCCAGATCTAGTACTGGACAAGGCTGCCCAGGGCCCCATCCAACCCAGCCTTGAACACCTCCAGGGATGGGGCATCCACAGCCTCTCTGGGCAGCCTGTTCCAGCACCTCACCACACTCTATGGTGAACTTACCCCTGATATTCAATCTAAATCTTCCCTTTTTGAACTTGAAACCATTCCCTTGCCCTATCACTGGCTACCCTTGAAAAATGTTGATTCCCCTCCTTTTTATAATCCTCTTTAAATATGGGGACCAATATAGGCTCTCAGCTCATTGCAGATTTATCTACTCAGTCTGTAGTCATAGATTCCAGTAGAGAATTTGGTTTGCGCACAGAAAAAAACAAAGGTTGCCTTCTATCACAATACAGCAGGCCAAGACTAACTTTATAGAAACAATATGGTGTGATATAGGATGGAAAGTAATACTTCTGAGGTCTACTGCTATCCAATAGATAACTGAATTAACTCAAAGAAACCCCACCAACATTTACTTGGAGCACTACAAGTAGTCACTGCTTAGCAAGACTAACTTTTTCCAGCCTGTATACCAAGTATTTCAACTGTCTTCTATTCACTGTGGATTTTGTTTCAAAAATTGCAACTTAGACTTCGAAATTGAAAATCTAGAGCTTTCAACTTCTCAGCAGGCTCTAAGAACATCTTCTCATTAGCCTCACACACTGCTTACTAAAATAGAATACCCCCGTGCCCTCTCCCGAGCCAACGCATTTAAATCTGCAAGGCTGCGTACCTTAAAAGCTACAAGCACCTAAAAGATAATCAGCAGATACAGACGCTCTGTAGAGGCAACAGACTTTGCTCCTCCTGTAACAGAACAGTCCTGCTTCCCAATACCATTTGTGAGCAATGCTGCACAAAGGAGTGGGAAATAACAATCGAAACCTGTCTATTTCTGAAAAGGTTGCTTAGTCTTACAAGAAAGGAGTCCTGCTAGAATCCTCATTTGTTCAACACAATCTTCATATTCCATGACATAAGATTAAGTTACTTAAGGAGGCAATGAAGAGAAACATACTGAATCAAGAAATGAATCAGTCTTTAATGGGTAAACAACCATCACAATACTTTTAGAGTACTCAGTGTTCAGACCTTAACACCTCAAAATAACATTAAATTGCACTTCAACAAGCTTAGGAGCATTCTTGCACACCAGAAGCAAAAATGGTACTTGGTACCCTTGCATCTCATTCATCCTAAAATTTGTGATTGCTCTGACACTGACAGATATAAAGCCTACCACTTGCTTCCACCCTGTCATACAAATTTTATAATCACTTTGCTATTTCATGCAACATTACAAATATAAAATCTTCCAAAGTTTAAATAGCAGTCAAGTCAATATGATATATTCCATTAAGACGTTAGCATCTATGTTTACTTATTTTGCATTCCTTTTTACATGAGTTTAATTACCACGCTGTAAAAGTGAGCTTCAATAACAAACATACAGAAACAGAACAGAGCTCAGAACTACTCCAAAACTGTATACTGCATATTAAATAGAGTTCTCCCCAGGTAGGAGCTAGACAAATCTCTGGTTTCACCTTAGATGATTCTAAACAAACCAGATTCTCTCTCCCTCTACTTGAGATAAGTTACTCCTCCCAGCGCAGTTGTTGCTCTGTTTCCTCATGTACGAGTTTCACACCTCCATACCTACCACATAATTGATCAATATTTCACCCTCTACAACCACTATAATCCCTTGTACCCTATCCTTACTCCTCTTAACATTGCTTTATTGAATCTACTAAAACACAACTCTTCCCACCACCTTCAAAAAAAAAAGCACATTCCAAAATGAATTTCTGAACAACTACACTGTACTTTTTCCCCTTGATGTACATAACAGGCATTTCATTGTTTTCTTGAACTCACCTCAACACCTTACTGAAAAAGCACTATTTACTAATGCAGCTTTATCTGTAATCAAAAATCCAGAAGTCGTTTCAGATTCCACAAGCATTCTCTCCTTTCCTTCCCATTTGATTATTTGGGGGGTAATATTTCTCTAAGGAATTGCAGATCAAATCATCACCTCTGACTGTCAAAGCAATTTCATAAAAATTTGGTTTTATACTGGAGCTTCTCCTCTAGGGTTTTTTGGTGGTGCTCTTTCCAATTCTGCCTTTTGCAGGTACTAACAGCCCTGACCAATGAGAAAGAAGAACAGTGATGAAATGTAATCAGCAGCTTTGGGTTCTGTCAACATCTCACCACATTTGAAGTGTACTCACACTAGATGACAAACATCCTCAAAAGTCACACTCACTGTGTAGACCTTTCTCCCTTCATACTTACCTGTGACATTAGGGAGACAACAAAAACTACTGGGGAGAGTTTCAGGGGCAGGAAGAAATGTTACCTAAGCAGTAAGATATTGACCAAAATCTGTCTTCTCCTGCTCCTGACCTCATAGACCACAGGTCATTTGTACTTGAAGATTCCCCCTTCTGTCCACAGATCACACATCAAAACCCTCTGCTTCAAAAGCATTATTTCAAGACAACATTTCAACTTCTGACAGATGTTCTGAAGTGTTATCGGTCAAGTTCACATATGCCAAAAGCAATCTGGGAGGACTGACATCTCATTTACACTCATTAAGACTAAAATAGTAAGCTGCCACATGACACAGCTCTCAACTTCATTGTTACAGCTATCTTCACATTTTTACACGCACAATTAGTTTGGCAAGGTTATATCAAGCCAGCAGCTCCAGCTTTCTCACCTCCAAGGAGCACAAGTCACCCCAACACCTGGTGGTGATGAGTTGCTGCTTGGATTAAATGATCTTTGTGGTCTTCCTCAACCTTTAAAAATTCATGAAAGGGTGAGAGCGATGTGCTAGTGCAAGATATTTGCCAACTCTATGAAAGCTAAGTCTTTAAATCTTAGAGTTTTTGAGATGTAGCATCTTATTAATATAGGAGACAATTCGCAACAAATACAAGCAAATACTAATAGAAGTGTCTGCTATTGATCAAGTACTCTGAAGTCTTGTATGTGGAACATTTAACTGTTGAAGGCACTTCAAAGCCAGAGCAGTTGGGTCTATAGCATTTCTTACAACGTTCAGCCAAGTAGCTCCAGAAAACACAGCGTAAGGCAGCACATCTTGTTTCAGTTACTTTCACAGCAGCGTGGTACAATAGCTCATGAACCGTTAAAAAAATAAGACACTGATACAGACACTTAACTCCTCAGCCAAGACATATTCACTGTGTGCAACACAAGAGAAATTTCTGCGGAAGCGCTTCAACTTTTAGACTACTTCTTTAACAAGCATTTCATCTTCTCTAAGGAGTTAGCATCCCAGTGATCTCTGCCTGAGCAGTCTCCTAACCATGCAGAACTCCTGTGTTGCGATGAAGCACTGCAGCCCAACAGAAATGCACGTGAGCACATTAAGTCTCAACAAACTGTAACGGTCACAGGCTCACCGGCAAAGCAAGAAGCGCTGGCAAACTGCTTTTTTTTTCCTCTGAATCAACCCACGGTACACTGAGACCCACCCTTCTGTCTTTCCCACAGCCGCCTTTCTTTAGGGACAGAGAGAACACATGCAATTTCCACATAGTTTCTTCAGCAAACACATGTTTTTAGGCTTAAATTAGTAATAATCATCTATTTCGGAAAGCTACACCATTGCCAGAGGGGGGAGACTATTCCATGCGACAGCACCATCTCGCAGCAGCACTGCCCCAACTCCCTCCCTGAAAAAGCATTTCTCAGCTCCTCCACAGCTGCTTTATGATGGCACGGCTTGCAGGCTGCTCGCAGTATTTTTATCACACCAACCTCCAGAGGCTTCTTCCTAACTTGTTCCTCTTTCCTTCAAGAGGAGAAGGACACGGCACATCCTATAATAAAACATCCTTGCCAACTCCTCATCGCCGCGTTGGGAATACAACGGCAGAACGACGGTTCTCAATGTGCTTTTGAAGGAGAAGAAAAAAAAGCGGCCCCGCCGCTCCCACTGCCATAAAACCACACCGCGCACACGGGCTCCCATGCAATAAAAGAATAACCGCGCCGCGATTTAGTTCCCAACTTCCTCAGTGCCCGCAGAGCGGGAGGGCATGAAGGAGGGAAGGGGGGTTATGCACAGGGCCCAGCGGCACCTGCCCGGAGGGGCTGTACGCACACGGGATATCCGGAGCCGAGGGGACCGCCGACTTTAACTCCGGGCTGCACGCAGCCAAGGAGGCCAGAAGCCACCTTACACCATAACCAACACCGGCTTCACCCTCGTTCGAGGGAAAGCGACGCAAAGCGGCAGCACGGGGAGACGAGAGGGCACCCCGCGGACACCGACGCCCCCACGCTGCCCGTAGGATGACCGCCACCGCCCGCAGGCAGCGGGGATCGCACCGCGGCGGGAAGCGTCGCTCCGAGCGGCGGCGCACAAACTTCCCCGCCGCGCCCGGGGCAGCGCCGCCGCGGAGCCGACCGCGCCGCAGGGAGGCTGCGGGCAACCGGGAGGGGGCCGCGGCCCGCGCGAGTAACGGTCCCCGCACCGCCGGCGGGGCCCGGCGGCCGCCCCGTTTCGCTCCTGCCGGGCTCCCGCACGAAGTTTCCCCCAACTCTCCCGCAGCCCCCGACCCCGGAGCGGCTCGGGTTTCCCCGCTCCTCCTCTTTCTCCGCCCGCCCCCCCCCGCCTCGGGGAGGAAAAAGTTGCACTTACTGCAGCAGAAGCGGGAGAACACCAGTCCCAGCAGCCCCAACCCCGGGGGCAGCGCCGAACCCGCCCGGCGCCGCCGTCTCTGCCACCGCCACCACCGCGGGGAGGCACCGGCCGCTGGAAAAAGTTCCCCACGACCGAGAGGAGCCGGCGAGACGCGAGAAGCGGCTCCGATCGCTGCCATGCTCCGAGCTCGGCTGCTCAGCCGCTCCGGGTCCGGCCGCCGCCTCCCCGCGCCGGGCGCGTTTAGCGGCGAGCAGCGAGCGCTGCGCCGCCCCCCGCCCTCCGGAGCTGGGCCACACCACCCCGCCGCGGGGACGGGGGGACGGTCGGGCCCCCACCTCCTCCCCCGCCTCCCGCCTCCTTCCTCCCCGCCCCGGGGCGAATCGCCTCGCCCCACGCTTCCCGCCCCGCTCGGGGACACCGCGAACCGCGTCCGCCTCACGGGGGGTTCCCGTTAGCGATGCGGCCGGCGCGGGGAGCCGGTGGGAGGGGGTGAGGACGGCCTCCCCCGGGGGGGTGTTGGTACGGCCCGCCCCGCCCCCTCCCCCGCCCCGCCCGCCCACCCGCCGCCGCCCCGAGCCGGGCCGGGGGCGCCGCGCTCCTCAGCGAGAGGGGCGGTCCCGCTCGGCTCTTGCCCGCCTTCCCCGTCCCGCCCGGTCCGCTGGGAAAGGAGGAGGTTGCGCCGCGCGAGCTGCCGGCTGCAGTCCGGGTGCCGCGCCTGAGGGCTGCGGTGCGGGCAGGCCGTGCGGGAAGGGAAGGGAAAGGCGCTTCCTTCCTTCCTTCCTTCCTTCATGGGTCGCCGGGGCGGGATCGCGCCACAACCCTCACGGCCGCCCTCAAGCCCTCAGCGTGTGCCCACAAGCGTTGGTCCCCCTCGACACGAACTTCTCCCGGAGCACCGAGGGAGTCCTGAGGGGACGAACGGGCGGGAGCCTGGCAAGACGACGGGGTCCGGAGCGGACGCCGAAGCCCCCCGGGGCTGGGCGGGAGATGGCACCGAGGAACGCCAAATATGGCCCTACGCAGCCCTCGGGGCCCTCGGGGAGTTTCTGTCACACAAGCGGCGGGGATCCTGGGCTGTGGCACGGTGCCCGGCTGTCCCCTGGGTCAGGCTGGTGACGCTGCGAAGGGGGAAAGGGCCTCAAGCCCCTGCCTGAGGTCCCCGGGGCCCGTCTCAGGCTGGCTGGCACCGGGTCGGTCGGCTGGTGGTGGCTCTTAGAGGCAGCGCAGCTTTGCTGCTGCATCCCCGCACCGAACTGAATGTGGGCGCAGTGTTGCCGGGTGCACCCCTACATCGGGTAGCCCCGTGCAGGAGCTTGAAAGAATCAGGCTGTCAGTGGTGTTTTTACAATCTGGATATGCTTTTTCATCTCAGATGCGTTATCATTGCAAGAGTGCAAGAAAAGTATTGAATGGCCAATTATCCTATACCTGGTGCTAAGATGTCCACTGGCAATGGGTTCCCTATAAGCCCACGGATCACATAATCGCAGAATCTGAGGTGTTGGAAAGGACCTCTGGAGATGATCAAATCCAACCCACCTGCTAATGCAGGATCATTACAGGAAAGCATTTAGGTTGGTCTTGAATTCACCTCCGGAGGAGACCACCGTACAGTGGAATATTAGATCATTTCCTTCAGTGGTGGGCACAAACTGCAGTTTCTCCCCGAGCCATGCATGGCTAAGCTTATCAGATGCTCACAAAGGAATGTTCATCCAGTCCTCAGCTATGCAGAACGTTTGCCAGTTAACTGCCCTCATTAGTTTGTAGCTGTGAAACAAAACCAAATTCAGACAAAGAGTTACTGAGGCAAACTGTTAGCAGTGATGAATGTTGTACATTCGTCACCATTTTGGAGGGCAAACAAACATAACTGAGAGTACTCTCAGAGTTTTGTCAATTCAATTTGATTCCCAGAGTCCGGAGTTCAGCTCATATGAAATTCTCAAACCAGTTTCACCTGGGACTGGGATTCCAGTCTATGCAGGTGGTGCATAGGATCTTGTCCAAAACTGTATCAACAACTTTTGGGGACAGCTTGCTTAAAGGAAAAAGGAATATGCAGTGGAGTGGTCTTCCCACTACTGAAGCTTCAAAGTCTGATCATTTCATCTGTTGCTGGAATCTTTGCCGTTTTGATTCCATGGAAACCAGTATATCCCTCCACGCCAATAAATCTGGATAAATATAATACTGAATTAATCATTAGAGTCTAATTTGTTTTTATACTTCGAGCCTTTTTACATGCGAAAATTGATGAGCTATCTGCTATAGCAGAATAATTTACATTAATACAGCTTTGCTGATATAACATTCCAGGTAGATGTATTAATTGTGCATAATTATTCCATTTCCCTGCATAGACAAGTCCTATATAGATAAATCCTTAAATCCCCTTTTATACTTAACAATCGAATCAAATTACATCTCATAATTACATTTACACCAAGTTCAAGGCACTCTTAAGCTGGGCAGGAAATATAATGGGGCCGTAGTGTAACTGAAAGTGCAACCCTTAAAATCCTATTTGTGGCAGCTATAATCTAATTGTCATCTGCTATATTATTTTCATTTCTACTCATTCCAAAGTAAGAAAAGGCATAAATTCCATTAAAGCAAAATGTTTTGAAGGGCTAACACCAAAATATGTGCATCTATTCACCGTGGCTAAGGAAGCAAATGCAGTTTGTCATGTTTCAGCAGAACTGTGCCCAGTCTGTAGGTAACTGCTGCTAGTGCCAGGTTCAGCACTGTTGTAATCAGGCATCCTGGGGACTTTGTGATAGGAAAGGAAATTTGACTTCATGACATCAAGGCTAAATTTGGCTCTCCGATGCTTAGAACACTCCTGAAGGTATGATGCTGCAAACAATTAATCCTGCATATTATTGAATAAATGCATATAGGACACACTGGCTCACTTCTTGCAATTCCATTGTTACTGGCATATTTTCTCATAAAGAGATGTTTTTTTTCCAAAGCTGGCAACAGTCCTGTTCGAAAGCATCTTTGTGCTGCAGAGACACAAAGGACCAGACTCTCTTTCCAGCCCGCTTTCCCCCCTTCCCGTTTCCCTACCCCCACCATTGTACACCCACCTGCCCTTCCCCCCGTGAAGAAAAGCCCTGCCCCTTCATTTAGGCCGGGTTTTTGGCAAGGCTTCTCCTCTCTGTTCTTAACCCTTGTGGTCATTTGAAAACAAAGTTCTGAAGCAGTGTGAAATTAACTTATATGCATAACATTTGAAGTGACGGCACAAATTCCCGCTGGAATGAAGGGCCATTCACTTCAGTGGGAATTTGTAAATAGATTTGCAACAGAACCAATGCGCTTTTCTGAAAACTCTCGCTGCCATTCTCATGGATGGGACGGGGCCTCCCTAGCAATGTTTCTGCACCACCACCCATTATGGCCTTTTAAAATAAAAATACAATGAAACAGCCCAATAGAAAACCTGCCCTTTTCCCCGCACTATCCGCTGGATGAGACATTTTGCCTGCTGCTGGGTAGAGGGTCTGTGATTTGCTATCAGGTGCTTGCATTTCCACAGAGAGAGAGACCATCACTACACCTTTACTGAAGTTGGAGTCATCATGTCTCTGTCCACGCAAAACTCCAGATGGGGTTAACAGTGCTGTATGGAGACAGATGTCTGTCCAATTCCTGCTCCAGGAAGCCACGGAAATGCATCTCTGCAGGCATGATTGATGCCAGTTCCAGAAGGGTCAAAGGTGCAGAGAACGTGGGCTGCATATTTATCTGCATGCATCTCGCATCTCTACTGTGGGCTCAGTGCTCTGGTCGTCCATGAACTTGTTTGGGAAGGGCTTAGAAGGGCTCCTCGCAATGTACAAAGTTTTGTTTATTGCTTTTGAAATGCCCTCTTAATAGTGCTGGGTATGCTTAGGAATCTTTGGGCAAAGGATACTCTATAACCACACTTCTTACTAAAAGAGATGACTAAAACTAGAAATAAATTCTAAAGTTGGATTATTCTTACTTTTTTTTTTTCCTGCTTTCTGCATACAGTATGATGCAGAATGGTTTGTTATGTCATCTTATAGAAAATTCAATCACAATATTTTGATTTAAATCATAAGCAAGCTTAGCCAAGAACAACATACATACAGTTGTATCATATATGATGTTTAAAAAATCCATTTGCCAAATATTTTATTAATCGAACATGGCATTTAAATCTTGTACCTTTAAGGAGAAGTCTGAGTGACTGACTCCCTCTGTATTGCAGAATGCTACCAAGAAAACTTCGGTTCTCCTGCACGCAGAGCAACCCTGTTCTCATCTGTTAGTGCAAGACCTTTTCTGTGTCTCGACAAAGTCTGAGAGCTCATTCTTCATTTCACAACATAGTAAAGTAGGTCCCGACAGTAATTATCCCTAACCTTACGTTTCATATCCGTGGTCAGATGTACACATCATCCCCTCTTCAATTAAATGGAGAGTTCCGTTGTCTCAGCCAAGAGGTTTTAGACTCCCAGCCAAACAAGCAAATTCCTTATCCATTTCTGACAGGCAAAAAAAAAAAGTAGGCAAGGTCCGGTTTGCAGTTACATCTCTCTGATTACCGCTTACATCCCTGAGAAAGAGGACAGAAAACATAAGGATTCCTCTTGGAAGAACGCTTGCAAGCCAGACAATGCTTCCTCTGTTTTCTTTCTGCTCTGCTTCCCTTTACTGTAATCTCTTGCTCTCTTTCTGTGAGCCTGTTTTCTGTGCTTTCTCTCTCTTCATCTTTAACTATTTAGGTGTACTTACACAGATACGTACATATGATATTTTACATTACTAAGTACAGAAATACCCCTTGATTAATTTGTAGCTGTGTAGACAAACGCACAGCTTGTGTATATCATTTTGAAATGATCACATTTCCTTCCAAGACACAAGCAGTAGATATTTAAGATGATCAAAAAGAGAACATGGAAGTTTGTCACTCAAAGTAGTCCCGATGCTATGTGAGAGGATGCTTGCCATCCCTCTCAATGTTTTGCTCGTGGCTCAAGGAATCTGCTTTCTTGCTGGGTCAAAAAGAGCAAAGATTAATTCCTGGGGAAAAAAAAAAATGTTTATCCCAGTGAGGTCACAATTTCATCGTGCATGCCGACCTTTCACGGTGATCTTCTCATTGTTTCTATTCACTGACATAGTCCCAGCTCCAGCAAGAGCTTAGCTCTTGAGTCAAGGAAAAAGCAGTTTTTGCATTCATTTTAATGGGATCTTTTATTCATTTTTAGTATCATTACTGTTACACCAGCTTTACTTAATTATGAGAGAAGAAGCAGGCTTACAATTCCCCAGAGAAATTTTCTGTGGTTTTTTTTTCTTCTTAGACTTAGTCTCTTTGTCTTCTCAGCCTCTCCTCCCTTAGTCTTTTAATTTTCCTTGAGTGTACTTATACTTAGCTTAGAAATAAGCACATTTTCATGAGATTTTAACTGCTGTAAGTGGTGTAGTCTTATTTTTTTCTTTCCCATCATCTTTTCCTCTGTGTTCTGATCTCTAGATCCAACA